AGTCGTTTATGGCTGAATTACAAGAATAAAATTTTGTAAGGTGTTTTATGTATGTCAAGTGTACACTGATGCGCTTAGCACAGACCTGTTCTAATTCTGGTTTGAAGGATTAAAGCGACCGCAGCGTGAAGCTCATCACTGACGTCAATTTAGTACTGAGATCTGTGATGCCATGTAAGTACTACGCTGCGGGATACAAAGATGAACAGAGATTTTCTTCTTTAAATAATTCTTTTGGAAAACGATAACTCGAAAGTCTGAAGAGGAGGTTCAAGGTGGAATCGTAACATTAAAATGAACCCCGAGGATATAATTCTTGGATTTCCTGATTCTGAAAATTCCTATTTGAAAGTTATGACCTTAAAAGAGCTGTGCTTCCTCTTTGTGTAAGAGCTTTTGTTAATTGCTTTATCTTCTGGGTTTAAAAACTTTTTGAGTTGTTAATCTTCTAAAGCAGATACCAAACCGTTGTTTAATTAGTTCGCCAGTCTGCTACTCAGTCAGTAAGTAACAGGTTTCGATGATATGAGATGGATTTAAATGTTGCTATTAATTACTTGTGGTTCATTTAACAACGCTATCAGTACCTCAGAATGTATTTGCAAGATATGTGGAAAGAAGGTGTTGTGGACTACTTTAATGTACTCCGATATTTTATAGGAGATACTCGAGAAAACCACGGGATACCTCAGACAGGATAGCAGATTTCCGGGTCGAGATTTGATACCGGACCTACTGAATGCGAAGCAGAAGAACCAACTATTAGACCACGATGTCTCTGTTTCCATGAATACATAATGAATGTTGCCTCTTCGGAAAATTAAACAGAAAACGTCACTAGGAGTCACTCGTTGACCAACCTGATTTTCAGAAGAACCGATATATTAGGTGAGATTTCAGGTTGTCACTGCAGCAAGTATGAAGATGTTGCTTGTGATTTTGCGTCATGTAATCTCGCAGAAATTGGCCGACGTTTCAGAAGTGCTTATTGTGTCATTATTACCCTGATGATAGAGGCAGTAAACTCCTCGATATTAGTTTCCCGGCAGTGATTTTTCCTTTTTGCCAGCATGGCCAGCTCTGGCCCTTATTCAATTTTCTGTCAACTGGACCCCTGGAAATTCCGCAGGCAGGCTGGTTCTTATTACAAGATACCTTTATACATGGATCGTACTTTCAGTCTTTGTATACATCTACGTTGTATGAAGTAGCTTATCTTTTGTGTCATGTGCACGTTTTTAAAAAGGGAAATGGATAATTACGTATTAATGAGTATCTCAAGCATGGCGTCGAAAGGGTCCTCTTGTCGTGTTATGTGCCAGGGATGACATTCTATCTTAGATTAAACTAGCTTTGGTTATACTATTTAAAGATACATATCTTGCTATCTTTATGCTAGTTCAAAGATATATTACCCTTGACTGGCATGAGAAAAGCTAGCCTGAGTTAAGAAACAATGTTCGTACTAACGTCCAGCTACGCCAAGAGGTCCTTTTGACGCCATGTTTGAGTCATCAGTTAATACGTAAATAAAGGAAAAGTTCACAAACATAAAGAAAATTGCTTCAAGAAGATATTTCACGGGAAACAGATTTCCATACACAGATCTACTGAATATTTTATTGGTCTTGTTTTAATAAAGGCTTCTTACATCAGTACGGTTATCCATCACTGTATCATCCTGACTTCGTGGAGACGATTAGCTAATAAAATACGTTAAC